ACCAGAAGGCAGGCGTCCTGCTGGAGCTGAACCAGGCCGTTGTCTCTGCTGAGGATACCCATTTAGCCTCTTTTTCCAAAAGCAATAAAAGAATTTTTCCGGAATGGTTTTGAAGTGCTGTCTTGTTTGTCAGGGGCTGTCACGGGATTATCTTCCCCATTCCCTCATTATATTTGGGGCCCAATGCCTGGGGTGGGTGTTTCTGAATTCATTCTGTGGGGCCTTGCGATGTCACAGGAATTGGGAACATAATATTTCTCCATGCATGTGTGAGGGAGTGAGCTAGGCATCGTGGGTTCCCTATTTGAGCTCCGAAGCAAGTATATTATGTGTCATGTCGGACAGACACAGGAAGCCAGTGGGCCCTGGTGCCATTCAGAGAGGATTGGAGTTGGGTACCCAAACCCTATGGCTATCCTGTAACAATAAACGAGACTCACTCCTTCCCTTCCACCACTGCTCCTCACATTTCTTTGCCTGGCCTGGAGATTCAGGGGAGCCCAGCCGTTTCCTGGCACAGCAGCTCATTCTCTGAGACCTGGCAAGCTTCATCTTCATCATCAACACCATGAGCACTCCATGGACAGCTCCTTGCGGAGTACAAGTGGGGAGAAAATATGTCACTTCAAAGAAGCTTACAGTCCAACCTCTCACAACAGTGCCACAACCAAGGAAATGTAGATGGACAATAATTTGGAGATGAGCGTACATTAAAATTTATGTGGATCCATGCCATGAATAGATGGCAAAAATACACTGGTACTGCAAAATCTGCTGCTTGATGGTAGTGGCTCCCTCTGAGCGCCTAGGGGGAGAATGTCTTCTTCTTCTTTTGACCTAAGATGAACTTAGGTCAAACAAAGGGCAGGGAAGGTTTTTTTTTCTTCATTCGTAAGTCAAGGCTCCGTTCACAAGTCGAAGCACCATTTTGTTGATGGAGCTGTTTGTAACTCGAAATGTTCGCAAGTTGAGACGTGTGTAAGTCAAGGTACCACTGTACTAAGGAGGAGAAAAGAAGAGGACTTGAATGAGTTTTGCATTCAACAGTATTCACCTAAGGAAAAAAGTACCTGTTGTCTAAAAGTAGCACAAAACACAAACTGCACACCTCTAATAAGAAGTAATAGAGCAAAATCACTTTCATTGTATTTACTTGTATATAAGTTCTGGCTTTTCCACAATTTCTCCCCCCCCCCCCAGGTTCCTCTCACCACTAAATTTCTGACCACCAAATATTAATGTCAAATAAAGCTTACTAGTCTCTTTTGCTTTTTCTGAAATAATCTGATGCAGAGTTACAGTTGCCTTTTTCAGCAGTGCTTCTAAGTGCCTCCTTACTGACACTGTAATTCATGCAACTGCAAAGCAAGTGGCTTAAAAGTTACTGTCCTGGACTGTCAACTCCCAGAACCCCTCAGTCATCATGGCAATGAAAGTCATAGTCCAAAACCGTGCCTCTTCTAAGCTCTTTCTCCAAAAGATACGAAACCTGGGAATGCTGCTCCTGGAATTTCCTATCACGCCTTTGAAAGTAGGAGCCTCAGGAGAACATGAACAGGGCTTTGGAGGGAGGAAATGGCAAGCCTATGCAAAGCTGGTTCAACGCTGCTCCCCCCTAAGCACATTTTGCCTATGGATGAGGTCCATTAAGCACAGCAGTAAACTTCCTGCATGATACCCGGCAGCCAGTAGTTTGAAGCCGTCCAGAAGACCTTGCTTCCAAATATAGGGAGGTTTCTAGTCTCAGAACTGGTGTGCAGGTTTGTAGTTCTCTGGACTACATCTCCCAGAGCTGCCTGGATATTTCTCGGAGTCATAATCCAGAAAAAAAAAAACCCTGCACACACCAGAGATTCCAGCAGTTGAGACTGGAAGAGAATGCCAACTGCTGCAGAGCTTGCAACTTAAAACAACAGTGAAATAAGGCTCTTGCACCTACTTCATTCACAAACTGGTAAAAGAGCTGTGTAGGGTCCTGGCTCTTACCTTTGTTCTATTCAGAACATGGAAACATTTTGGGGGGAAACTCCCAGAATACCACAGCCATCCATGTGACTGTGGAATTCTGTCCTGCTTTTCCAACATGCCAATTCTGTTCTGTTTTCCTTGCTGGGCCCAAAATAACTGCAGAATGGGCAGAAATTAACTGCATCAGCTTTGTCAACATGATGATATGAGAACTCCACCTACTGAACTGCTGCCTGTCATCAAGCTCCTACGAAACTCTTAACATATTTTTCCAGAAAACTTATTTTTTTCTTGAGTAAAGAAACACCTGTGTGGTGAAATCCACCTTACCAAGAACTTTTGGACCTTACACAGAAGAGTAACTTTCCTGGCAAAATCCATCTTGCCATGAACTTCTGGTCTTTAAATTTGGTCCACGCCTGACATAGTGGATGATCTTGATTCACCACTAAACTTAGCAGATTGTATGGTGATTTTTCTGTGTGTGGTCTATAAAGGTATCGCCTACTCTTGCATTTTTTTATTTTTGCAACGGCTCCTTTTTGATGCCACTGAGAACGCAACCTCCTCTGGGATCTGAAAAGCCTGGAGTCGACTATCACTGAGAATTTAAGCGAAACATACGGGAATTCGTCGATGCAGGAGGACTTTTCTGGAACGAGCGGCCCAGGGATGAACAAATTACCAGGTAATCTTAGGCACTGGAAGGTCGCCCCACTCCTTTCAATGGGGCTTAGCTCCCATAGAAATGAGTAAGCGGGGGACGGATCGCGTCTCTTCGGAGTAGGAAAACGATCCCCGTCCCTCCGTCCGGATTTAGGCTGTTTGGAAAAGCGAGGAGGAGAGCGCGCTCACACGATCCCTTGACCGGGTTTCCTCGCCATAGACCGCCCCCCCCGGAGGGCCGGCAGGGCTGACCTGGCGCCGAGCCCGGCGGGTGGAGGGGAGCGCGCAGGTCGGTCCNCCCGGATTGGTCGCCGCGGCGCTTTCACGTGCAAAAGACAGCGCCGCGTTTGATAAGCAGCCCGAGCGGGGTGGGGTGTTCAGTGACTCCTTTGGCAGGCGGGGGGTTTGCGGTGCAGGCGGCGGGTGTGTGAGCTGCAGGGAGGCAGAAAAGAAACGCCCTAGAAAGCCTTGGGTCGGGAAGAACTTTCCCTCCATCTGAATGCTCCGCTCCCTGGGTTTTGTGGGGTCTGTGTAACGCAGTTGTAGCAGGTAAGCTTCATGAGGGAGGCGTATTTTTTTTAAAGGCGATAACCTTTTGCAGGTGGACCAAGCAGCAGCATTGCGATCATGCCCTCTTTTCCTTCGGAGCTGAACTTGGGGCGAACTTACTCCCCAGCAAACACGCGAAGGAACCGAGGGGAGGGCGGTTTCAGACGACCTCCTTTGTCGTTTCCTTGGTCCGTCCTTGAGTGGAAGTTGTGCGGTGGCTGAAACAGCAGTGCGGATCCTTGCGGTATAAAAATGAGAGACGGGGTGTGTGCGTGCGCGCTAAGCGATTGCCTGGAATGTATTCTGACTAAGCATTTTTTTTTAAAAAAAAAAAAGACTATTTCTGTCTCTCCCAAGACGAAATTCGGAGTCGAACGTTTCTTTGAAAAGGTTTGTGATTTGTCCGTTCTCTGATCTCTTGCCGCCTAACGATTTTTTTTTAGCATAATTGCTGTAATTTCCACATAGTAAAAAACTTCCAGGCGAAGTTCCTTTTGAAAGTAAGTTCTTCCATGAATGTTCTCGAGGTCTTTAATCCGTGGAGAGTGAGGAAAAAAAAAGAATATGGAAAAGGATTGCCTAGCTGTGTGCTTATTTCTCCTTTTTCTGCTGCTGCTTTCAGCTGAGTCAGAATTGGAGTTTTGATGTACTGGCAATGATAATAATACTGTATCATTCTTTTAAACGTTCTCTCCCTAAAGCCAGGAGTGCAAAGTATAGTATTTGCATTACTTTAAAACTCCCATAAAAAACTAATTGGCAGCAAGAGAGTTAATTGAGGGGGGAACAGGATCATTACTGCTGGCTTAATTAATTGAATGAATGCAGAGAGATATGCAGAACCAGGAATTAATTTCAGTTAATTTAAGGATTTGAATTTTTCCAGAAACCAGTAAATAATACCTTAAATCGGATGAAAACAACAAGGGTAAATGTTTATGTCCAGGAGAGGAAAAATAAAATCCATAGCAGAGCAGTACCTTTATTAGATTAACAAAAAGATCACAAAAGTGTGCCAGCTTTTGTTTGTTCTCAGAACACTTTGCCAGGTAGGTGGTACCAAAAAACACACAATCAAAAACTAAGCATCTGGCTTCTTTCTGGAACTTTCCTTATTCTGCCTCCATCGCATTTGTGCACCATCTAGCCTGACAAGTGCTCGAAAATTCAAAAAGCACATAGACATCATTTGGCATTTTTGTAAATCCCAATGATAGATGTAATATTAAAGTTATTGAACACATTACACAAATGACATGTCAGCCTTGTACAAGAATTGTATCAGTACTGTGCTGCGCGTACAGTCCATAAAAGGTAAACAGACATGTTCCTTAGTAGCCTTATAAATGTTGGTAAATCCCTCTTATTTTTAGCATAGGATTTGCATTCTTGGTGCTTGTACATTTTTGGGAGCAGTGTTTACTTTCCTAAATGTGTCAGTACAAGTATCTAAATTATTTTGTCTCTTAAATTTATGTTAAAACAGGTGCAAGGCATTTACATAGGTATAAAGCAGGCATGAAAAAAAAGCACAGTGGTTTCAAAATACTGTTGAAGGTCTTTGAGTGATACGTTCCTGTTTCTTCAGCACTGCTTCTGGCTGCTAGTCACAGTTCTGGTTAATCTTGCTTCTGACTGAATTATTTAAGGCTGCCAGCCAGCAAGTAATGAATTATGAAGGAGGGTGAGTGGGGTCAGTGAGCGTTTTTCTGATGGGGGGGAAAAACAATCCTAACCTTTCTGTCTGTGTTTACATTGCAGAATGATACAAGTTCTAGATCCAAGGCCTCTACCCAGTTCCATCATGCCTGTAGATGTGGCCATGAGAATATGCTTGGCCCGTTCCCCACCTCTGAAGAGTTTTCTCAATCCACTTGATGAATACCAAAGAAGAAACTTTGTCCACCGATTCAAACCTCTCAGACCATGCCTTAATGTGAAGCGTGAAACTGAGTCCCCGAACAGTGACTGGAAGCACTCAGCCAGTCGAGCTAAGAAGAGGGTTGTCTTTGCAGACTCTAAAGGCTTTTCTCTGACTGCAATCCATGTCTTCTCCGAATTCCAGGAAAATCCAGCATGGGATCTTCAGTTTGACTTGTTAGATCTCGAAGACATAACTGCTGGCCTGAAGCTACATGAAGAACAGAACTTAATTCTAGGTTTCACACCACCTTCGGCTGACTACTTGGACTTCCGGAACCACCTACAGAAGAACTTGGTGTGTCTTGAAAACTGCACCCTCCAAGAACGAGCTGTGTCAGGAACTGTGAAAGTGAAAAATGTCAGTTTTGAGAAGAAGGTGTGCATACGGATCACCTACGATTCATGGAAAACCTATTCTAACATTGATTGTGTCTATATGAACAATGTGTATGGCGACTCAGACAATGACACCTTCTCTTTTGCAATTGACTTGCCTCCCGCCATTCCTACAGAACAAAAGATAGAGTTTTGTGTGTACTACCAAACAGGTGACAACATCTTCTGGGACAATAATGATGGGCAGAACTACAAGATTGTTCATGCAGAATGGAAATCTGATGGTGTCCAAGCACCGGCATCTCCCAAGAAAGAGTGTGTGGTTCTTAAGCCTTCAAGAAAAGCACACAAAACTGGCTGTGAGCAACAACTTGGGAGCCCTCGGATAACAAGTGGCCTCTTCCCTGAATGGCAAAGTTGGGGCAGAATGGAAACCTCCTCTCCCTATTGGTGAAGGAGATAAACCATAGAAGCATCTGCTGTCAGCAGCTGAACTTGGGCCATCTTTGGCTTCATAATGTGCAGCAGAAACAATCAACTAGGAAGCATTTGTGGACTGCTTACCAAGGAAGGAAGGAAGGAATGCTAAATGTATTCATTTAAGAACAAGCCAGCCACAACTTGAGACTTGGCACAATAGTAATTCAATGAGAATATCACCTCATGTGAAACTGGCATATATGTTCAACATATGTGATTTGTATGCGCTGCTATTCACTTGCCTTAATGGAAGAAGGGTGAAAGAGACATCAGAGGGAAGAACACTGTGTAGGGTGCTTTTTTGGGAAGCTGTGATTGTGTGAGGTATGTTGAATAAGTAGGTCCCAAGAAAAAAGATCTTTGTTCCTGTTGTAAGTTGTAGTGGAGACTCTGAGGGATATGGAACTATGAGTCCTTACACCTGAACTGAGAATGGGCAAATACTGTCCATAATATAATGGAGTGAATATAATTCTGGTGTGGAAGTATCTTTTTTTCCCAGCAGGAATGAAGTGGAAAGGAAGCGAAAGAGCATTGAAAGGGGAAAGAGGTATGATGGACTGTACTACAAGGAGGTGTGAAGTCTGGAGGAATCTGACCTTCAAAATGCCAAAAATTATTTTAAGGGGCTGTAGAGCATAATAAGATACACAATGCTTTGTTCCCACAAATTAGAGGTGGCACTGTTTGGATCCCAAGGGAGAGAAGTCTTCGAAGTTTTATGACGGGCAAGAGATCAGGAGTTGCAGCTTCCTTGGTTTTGAGGGGGTTACGGAGTTTGACCTGCTACATTTCCTTTCAGTCTGGCTTGGGTGTGTGTGGAGGGGGTGAGAGAAAGTGTGAAAAGAACGAGGGGGTTGGGAACTTTGTATATAAATAGGCCCTGCATACTTGTAGGCTTGGTTTGAAGAATCTGTCTTTCAATGTGCTGTACAAATGGCAACCACATTTCACAGCAGCTTTCCATCCTGTGTACACAAAGGCTATGCTTTCAATTCCATAGGGAGATCATGCTATTCCTTTCAAGAGAGAGAGAGAGAGAGACTTAGAAAATGCCTTAAATCTGTAGACGTTGACTACTGATCTTGCCTTGTTAAAGTAGACACAAATTATCATGCTTGTTGCAGAGTTTAGTTGTATTTCCAGACCCCTAAAATGAGCTCTTCACAGAAGTAAAACAGACCCGAGAAATTATAGTCCTTCATATTGAAGGGGTGATAATGTAGCTGAACTTCTCAAGCTAATCCATTCAAATGACAAGAGTATGCATCTTGCACATAAATAGAAATAGTTTTCTATCCACTTTCTCATACCTCATTTTTCTTCGGTAGCTTTTACAGATGCAGAAAGCTTTGTTTTTTAAAAAAATTATATTAATCTCCAGATATCATATTTGTTGTAAATAATAGCGTGTGACTGTAGTTTTGGCACAGGGCTGTATAGGATGAAGCCAGTCTGATTGGGGGTATGTATGCACCTCTTGTATTCATCAACCTGTTTTTAAGTGGTGTGGGCAATGGAAAATGCAAATCAAATGCCTATGTATGTTACACTAAAATTGAGATGGAATTTGTATTGTAAAATTAATGGGAATAGCTTCTTTCACCTGTTTCCCTGACTACTTTATCGCACTACTGTGTAAAATAACTCACTTCATTAATAAATTGTGTTTTGATAGTTGTGGCACATTTCTTGTTGAACTTCAGGTGTGGCTTAGTGGTGATGGTGAATTGCTGAACCATAGCAAATCCCAAGGATATTTTGCAACCTGGTGCTGGCCTTGTTTAATTATCTTATCCCTAACCAGTCATCTGCCTGTGTGTTGGTAAAGAAGGAATGGTTAGAAGATACTTAGCACTCCTGGAATACCAGCTGACAGGCTGACACCTACAGGACATGTTGCATCTATGAATTTAACACATGCTGGATTCCATATTTATAACAGGCCTGCTAGAATCAGTGGAAATCAGGTTAGTCACCAGTGTGAGTCTCAATGGTATAAGTAGGCTTCCTCTAAATAAGAGTAAGGCTGTATCCATCCCATCTCTCAGACCCAAAATGAATGGCAGAATTGGACTACATTGAGCAGTACAACCCATAGTCCCGACATGTTTGGATTGCACCAAGCTGAGAATGTTGTTGTTTAGTTGTTAACTCATGCCCGACTCTTAGTGATCCCATGGACCAGAGCACGTCAGGCCCTCCTGTCTTCCATTGCCTCCCGGAATTGGGTCAAATTCATGTTGGTAGCTTCGATGTCACTGTCCATCCATCTCGTCCTCTGTTGTCCCCTTCTCTTGCCCTCACAGTTTCCCAACATCAGGGTCTTTTCCAAGGAGTCTTCTCATGAGATTGCCAAAGTATTAGAGCCTCAACTTCAGGATCTGTCCTTTCAGTGAGCACTCAGGGTTGATTTCCTTCAAAACAGGTAGGTTTGATCTCCTTGCAGTCCAGGGAACGCTCAAGAGTCTCCTCCAGCACCACAATTCAAAAGCATCAATACTTCGGCGGTCAGCCCTCTTTAGGGTCCAGGTCTCACTTCCATGCATCGCTACTGGAAAAAACATAGCTTTGACTATGTGGACCTTTGTCGGCAAGGTGAGGTCTCTGCTTTTTAAGATGCTGTCTAGGTTTGTCATCACTTTCCTCTCAAGAAGCAGGCGTCTTTTAATTTCGTGGCTGCTGTCTCCATTTGCAGTGATCATGGAGCCCAGGAAGGTAAACTCTGTCACTGCCCCCATAGCTTCCCCTTCTATTTGCAAGGAGGTGATGGGGCCAGTGGCCATGATCTTAGTTTTTTGATGTCAAGCTTCAGACCATTTTTGGCGCTCTCTTTCACCCTCATTAAGAGGTTCTTTAATTCCTCCTCACTTTCTGCCATCAAAGTGGTATCATCTGTATATTTGAGGTTGTTGATATTTCTTTCGGGAATCTTAATTCCAGTTTGGGATTCATCCAGTTCAGCCTTTCGCATGATGTATACTGCATATAAGCTAAATAAGCAGGGAGACTATATACAACCCTGTCATACTCCTTTCCCAATTTTGAACCAAACAGTTGTTCCATATCCAGTTCTAACTGTTGCTTCCTGTCCCACATATAGATTTCTCAGGAGATAGATAAGGTGGTAAGGCACTCCCATTTTTTTAAAGGACTTGCCATAGTTTGTTGTGGTCCACACAGTCAAAGGCTTTTGCATAGTCAATGAAGCAGAAGTAGATGTTTTTCTGGAACTCTCTGGCTTTCTACATAATCCAGCGCATGTTAGCAAATTGGTCTCGAGTTCCTCTGCCCCTTCGAAATCCAGCTTGTACTTCTGGGAGTTCTTGGTCCACATAATGCTGAAGCCTACCTTGGAGGATTTTGAGCATAACCTTGCTAGCGTGTGAAATGAGTGCAATTGTACGGTAATTGGAGCATTCTTTGGTACTGCCCTTCTTTGGGATTGGGATGTAGACTGATCTTTTCCAATCCTCTGGCTACTGCTCAGTTTTCCAAACTTGCTGGCATATTGAGTGTAGCACCTTAACAGCATCATTTTAAAAAGATTTTAAATAGTTCAACTGGAATTCCATCACCTCCACTGGCCTTGTTGTTAGCCATGCTTTCTAAGGCCCACTTGACTTCACTCTCCAGGATGTCTGGCTCAAGGTCAGAACCATACTATCTGGGTTGTCCAGGGACATCCAGACCTTTCTGGTATAATTCCTCTGTGTATTCTTGTCACCTCTTAATGCTTTCTGCTTCTGTGAGGTCCATACCATTTTTGTCCTTTATCATGTCCATCTTTGCATAAAATGTTCCTTTAATAGCTCCAATTTTCTTTAACAGATCTCTGGTTTTTCCCTTTCTCTTATTGTCCTCTATATCTTTGAACTGTTTATTTAAGAACTGTTTATTTAAGAAGTCCCTCTTGTCTCTCCTTGCTATTCTTTGGAAATCTGCATTCCATTTTCTGTAACTTTCCCTATCAGAGTGCTGTCCTCTGAAGATGCCGGCCACAGAGACTGGCGAAACGTTAGGAAGAACAACCTTCAGAACACGGCCAAAGAGCCCGAAAAACCCACAACAACCATTTCCCTATCTTTTCTTTGGCGTGGTTTTTGTTGCTGCCTCCTGCACAATGCTATGAGCCTCCATCCATAGTTCTTCAGGCACTTTGTTCACCAAATCGAGTTCCTTAAATCTGTTCTTCACTTCTAATGTGTATTCATAAGGGATTTGGTTTAAATTATACCTGACTAGCCCAGTGGTTACTTTCTTCAGTTTAAGCTTGAATTTTGCTATAAGAAGGTGATGATTGGAGCCACAAGTCTTGTTTTTGCTGACTGTATAGAGCGTCTCCGTCTTTGGCTGCAGAGAACATAATCTGATTTTGGTATTGCCCATTTGGTGATGTCCATGTGTAAAGTTGCCTCTTGTGCTATTGGAAAAGTGTATTTGTGATGACCAGCTTGTTCTTTTGACAAACTTACCTGTTGTTCCTTTTATCTCTTGACTCCCTGCTTTATCATTTCAGCCCCATATAATGAGAAGAACATCTTTCTTTGGTGTCAGTTCTAGAAGGTGTTGTAAGTCTTCATAGAATTTCAATTTCGCCCTTGTCAGTATCGGTGGTTGGTGCTTAAACCTGGATGACTGTGATATTGAGAGGTCTGCCTTGGATTCAAATTGAAATCATCCTATCATTTTGGAGATTGTATCCCAGTACAGCTTTTCCCACTCTTTTGTTGACTGTAAGGGCTACTCCATTTCTTCTACGGGATTCTTGCCCACAATAGTAGATATGATAATTATCTGAATTGAATCCACCCATTCCTGTCCATTTTAGTTCACTAACGTCCAGGAAGTCAATGTTTATTCTTGCCATCTCCTATTTGACCACATCCAGGTCACCAAGGTTCATAGATCTTACATTCCAGGTACCTGTGCAATATTTTTCTTTGCAGCATTGGACTTTCCTTTCACTTCCAGGTGCATCCACAGCTGAGTGTCCTTTTGGCTTTGGCCCAACCACTTCATTAGCTCTGGAGCTACTTGTACTTGTCTCCTACAGTACCATGTTGGGCGCCTTCTGACCTGAGGGGCTCATCTTCCAGCGTCATATATAAGCTGAGAATAGCTATATTCAAATCTTATTTAAATTGTCCCCACTCTGGGTTCTTTTCAGATGGACAGATGATGTGACATGGTGTTTGTGGGGTGTCATAAAGCTATTATCCACAGACTTTGTGTATGTGGCATCCTGGGCCTGTTTGCACTGATGCATATCTGTACCCTTCCCTTTACAACTACAAACAAGGATTATTGCTTTACATACAGATCAGTCCCTATTACACAGTCCACTTTTTTTTCTCAGTGTTTAGTTTCAGCAGACTAATTCTGATATCTTTGGCTGCTGAGCCCATTTGCCAAATAATACAGAACTATTTTAGATATGGCACTGGGGCAAAGAACCTTGGTTGGTATCTTGGGAGGGGATGCTTCTCAGTTAAAAGCTTACACCTTTCCCCTAGAACCATATTTTTTTAGTACTATCTCATACATTGATTCATTAAAGTATTTCTATCCCGCCTTCTTGGTCAAAGACTTCACAAACAGCTGTGCGTTTGATAGCAAAGCCTCAGTTTCTGATAATGTAGCAACAAAATCAATCACAAGTCCCTCAAGTGATGGTATGGTGTGGGAAAAACCTTATGCAGAGCTAGTGATATAAGGAGTCTTTGCTGAAGGATTTTCTTGTAGTGCTGGGCTTATAGAGAGACTATAGTTGGAGGACATCATATTTATTTATTTACAAGATTTTTTTAAGCCACACCATTACCAATGGTTTCTGGGCGGCGTACAATAATATTAAAACTTTAAAAGCGTTAAAATAGGCAATAATAAGTGGGATTCTTGGTGTTTCTGGATAGCAAGGATGAAAAATATCAGGCTGGAACCCTTGAGAACCTGTGCCTCTCAGAACAAATGATTAGGCCAAACAGGTCTCTGGTCTAGTAGAAGGCAGTTCTGTCTGTAGACATAAATCCAGTTTTCAGGATTCTATTTAGTAGCTTCTGTAAAAATTGGAAATCCAGGAACCACAATAGAACAAGGAGTAGCAAATACGGTGCGGGCCAAAAGAGGCACAGATATTATGCTTTGAAGTAAAGTACATTGTCGATTTCAGGAAGGCTTAGCCAGAGATGGGTATGACAACAAAGAGCCTAGTGACACTTTGATGAGGTTCGACTGGCAAAAGCTGAAGAGGGCTGCAGTTCTTGCAAGCAAGCTACAGCTTATAGATAGAATCACAGAACTTCTTAAGCTTAAAGAGCTGCTCAAATCTCACTTGATAGGCCTCCAATTAAAGTGGACCTGTTGAATTAATTGCTGAGTGGTGAGTCAATACTGAGGTAAATTCTGTTGATTTAATGGGTCTACTCTGGCTGGGAACTGCCCAGTGGGATTCTATCCCCTTATTGTATTGAATTTTAATTGTTGTAAGCTGCCCAGAGACCTTTGGGTAGAGTGGGCGGCATATAAATTAAATAAAATAAATAAATAAAATAAATAAATATCTTTCATTGTTTTGGATGTGACAGGTTAACACAGAACCTGACTGAAACTGGCTGTAACAGTTGCAGCTAATGGCATATAATAGTTTCTATATTTTAATAGGTGCAGCTCGCAGA